TTTTACATTATAATCAAAAATAATTATATTTAATATAAGGGGTACGTGTCTAACATATTTTGGATCTACTTTTAATTGTGAACAATTTTTTCTCTCTAATGAAATCGCTTAAAAATGACAAAACTGGTAGTATTTGCGCAAAAACATTGAAATCACGTTTGAAAATATGGTCATCAAATACGATTGAGTCAAATATTAATAAAATTGTTGAAAATCGCAAAATATCACAAATTTCATTAAAATGTGTATTTAATAAATAAATTTTGTTTTAAATGACGTTTTGTAGATAGACTGAAAGCCAACCACTATAAAAATAAGTGAGAAACTATTAGCTTGACCTTCACGTGGTGTTTCTTGTTTAATACTGACAAACCTATACTTTTTTACTGACCGGTGCGCCACCTTTTTATAGCATACTGTGAATCTGTACTTGTGATATACTAAAAACACTTTGGACAGCTATACTTTAAAAGTATATTTATCATTAAAAGTCTAGATATCTATCATTTACTACAATATATTAAATAAAAATATTTTTAAAATCTATTGTTTTATTTTTAATGAGATTTCAATGCAATTGACAAACAATTTGAGTGAAAGTGTAATCCATTTTATAACAAGTAATGAATGACAGAAAACATTACAATAGACTTGTTTTCCAACTTCTAATTGAATTCAAACTATTGTTTGCTATTTATTGAAAAATTTGCTGTAAATTCAATACAATAGAGTGTATAATAAATTGTGTTTCTATTCCGACATTCAAAACACAATTTCAATGAAACACTTGTGTAGAAATTCTCACAGAATCTATACATTAGGCACAGAATTTGGTACATAATATGTTTGCACTTTCTTTTATGCACTCATTTTTTTGTGTAAATTTTTAACCAAAAAATCTAAATTTGATTTCCTTTTGCTTTTGATCACCAAAAAGGGAGTGAAATGAAAAATGTTTGGGTTTTTCTTCACATATTTTGAGTTTACTTTTAAATTTGTGAATAGATTTCAATGAAAATGTTTTCTCCAATTTCTTCGTCTCTTTTGCCAAAAACACAACTCAAAAGCACTGGAAGTGTATTATTGTTATTATTAATGCATAATTTATATACAGAAGTGCATAAAAAATACATTTACAGTGAAAAATGATTGTCATTTTATAGTACCAGAGAAATAGGGAATAAAAAGTGTTCAATAAAATACATGTAAATATCACTTCACTATTGTTTGTCGTGTTTTTGGTTTTTGCAAGTTTTGAGATTCAATTTACGTTAGATTTCTTTGTGTTCAGTCGTTGTCTTATTTTAGTATTTCGTTTGTGTATTGTTTGCCACAAAATAAAGACAAAACCAAACGAAAGACAACTGAATTTCTTGTTGTGTTCGGGCATTGAATTGAAATGAAAAACAATTACAATATATAGAAAAGTTTGTCTAAAAGAGAGGACAATCGATGGCATACTGTATATTAATCGTGCCATTAGTGCAAGTAATTGAGGGATAAGGAGCACAAGGATTGGGTAAAAGTGAGTGGAGAGAGAGAGAGAGAACAAAAAGAGTTTACATTTGGACCAGAATTTGTGAATCACTTCTCAATGCTTTACGTTATAAATCAAATGGAGTTTTAATTGAATTGAATACAAAAATTATGATTTCATTTCAAATATAATCGCTTTGTTCACAGCTTTTAGGAAATGGTAATTAAATTATATTTTGTGTTAATGTATTCACTCGTAATAATCAGCGCTAAATGAATAAAACTTTTTTGTGTAAAATATTTTAACAAATTTATATGAAAGTATCACTTTTGCTAAACTATTTTTAAATATCAATTAACAGTTGATTTGAAATTAATTGATAATTGTGTAAGTTTTCAATATATTAAATTAAAATTGTTTGATATTTGTACTGTTATGTAATATAAATTAATTAAACTATATTGCAAATTTTCAAACAATTAAATAAATCACAAAAAAATATTAAATGTTCAATACTTGGCTTAATACTTGTTCAATACTTGTTAAACTAAATATTCTTAAGAATTTGTTAATTACATTTAGTTTAGAAATGAATTAATGGTTTTCCAGTGCTTAAATATATTCAAAACTCTAGACATAACTTTTGTTTTAAATAGTGTATAAATAAATCAATGAATTTAATTAAATTTGGAAATAAATTGTAAGACTTTCTTTGATAAGAATTTTATTTAAACACAAAAAAATATATATCAAAACAAAAGTTTAAATAACTTCTTAGGATTTTAATTAAAAATCTTTAATGAGGCAATAAATGCAATGTTTGAAATGAATTATATAATCAATTCAAATATACTAGAGGGTATTTGTAATTATAGAACTTGTTAAACCATAGATTCTCTCTCTCTCTCTCTCTCTCTCTCTCTCTCTAATATAGAAAACAGAATTTATATTTTAAAATTTAAATCAAAAATAAGTCTCCGATTATAAGAGAAATAAATTTTTCTGACAGAAAAAAAATTTATTACACTTTTTATATAACAAAAAATATATCAAAAATTACATGTAATTTAGAGACACGTCTTAACGACCGCACGATTTAAGACTCCAGTTATGTATCGCAACGATAAGGCATTATGTCTTTTGTATGATATGTGTTGAGTTGAAGGCAATCAATTGGACTGTCATTATTAGTGCCAACAATTGAAAGGCACCGCATCTACCCATCCATTGTCTACCATCCCATTCAACTGCTCTCTCACTTTAAATCATAAATTTAATGATAAGAACCAGAAATCAGTGAAAAATATTTGATGGCAAAGAAGAAGAAAAGCTTTTTCTGTTGGCATTTGAAATAAAATTTTCAATTATATAATAGAGAGAGAGAGAGAGAGAGAGAGAGAGAGAGAGAGAGAG